TCTGTTGTAGGGCAATCTTTGCTTTACGGCAAATTTCATTTGGTAAGCAATGTACCCACGTTGCTTCAGACAGAGAGTTTGACTCAGAATCAAGAGGAACCTGGTTCCAGTTTCAGCCTGGATCACTCTCCTTTCTTCGTTCTTGAGGTTAATAAATGAGTACCACTCTGAGGAAGGATGGAGGCGACTACTAATACGCTTGTCATTTGCCTGCTCTGCCTTTAAAACAGGACGCTCATGACTGATGACATGGACAAACGCCCTACCCTAAACTTTAGTAAAAGAAGGGCGGCAGAACGGCTCAATTATGAAAATGTAATGAAAGTCGACATTCACACGGTTGCAAACTTTCCGGTATAAAGAATGACAGCTTCTGAAACATCGATTATGAGGCAAAGTTCCAGAGGTTGGCTCTAGAGGACAAAATGATGCGAGATGCATCCGACACTGCAGGTGCTCAGATGTCATATGATCTGCTTAAATGGTCCCTTAAACAACTAGCAGCAAAGGAGCAGTGCAGTAAGCCATAAAATCTGGTTTTGAAGGAGTCATGCGTTCATACTGATAACTGCTGATTACGTCAGTGTATTATGATTAATACATCTAGCTAATTGTGTGTACCAGTCGCTGACGATATTTAAGTGGACTAGAGATGCATGGCCTTTACGCATCTGAAATCTCCTACAGTCTGTGCGAAGCGTAAAGTGTGGTAAAGAGTACCCTGTGACCATAATGCTACCAGCCAGTCTATTGTATGAAAATCGAATCAGTGGTCATTTAGGGTTTGGAAGGAAAACGGCAGCCGTGTCAACGAAATCGTAAGTTTCTCCTGGACTCGCCTGGTCACGAGACATTTGGTCGGTCGAACGACCGCCAACCTTTTGTTATGCAAAGCAGCATAACGGAACAGGAAGCCAATGCATGTCAACAATAATTAGCCGAAGTTTACCTCAGTCGCCCTATGAGCGGCAAGAAATGTCGGTCGGTTAATGACTCAGCAGCGCTTTGCTGTTCACCTCATAGGCGTCCTCTATGCCCTTTCATGCCGCCACCGTCACCTCGTCCTTTTCTACATCCGCCGTTCACCGAATCACCACCGAAAAGAAACTACACAACATCTGATCATCATCACGCTTTGCGCTTTGTTACACATCGCGTTGTTATGATCGGCTTTGCCGCTTGACTCACCCCTCTTCCGGTACTCATCGGTCACTTAACATCGGTCACAACAGATGACCGTATCGGAAACATGTAAATAAATCGCAAATCGATTCGCTCCTCTGCCTTGTGCTTTGCCGCAACGGTCGCGGTACAGTGTCGAGTACAGGTTTGTGGGTGGGGAAGGAGGTTGACGGTTGCGATCACCCGTTCAAGGAAACGAGACATTAGCTCTTCAGTGGTCGGTCAGTTGTCCACTTCGCTGACCGTGGTCACTCGTCAACCTTAGCAACCGACGGAAGTAAATCGTGCGCTCCAGTTGCTTGCTGTGGAACAACGTCACTTAATCGGTTCCCATCGTTGATCTCAGTGGTGTCTGCTGCTCGTCCGTCACTCGGCCGGCTACGTTAAGTGATAATAATGACCAGCGGGCGGGCAGCTTCGAGTGACCGCGGTCATTTAAGGTGACCGGTTCACGTTCATTCCCACGCCTTCAGCCGGACATCGCTCGGTCCACCGCCGCGGACAGTTTTCACCTGTGTTTCGCACGCGACTCGACGTATACACCGATATCTAAGCCTTGGTGTTGTTCGGCGTCGTTCCCGTCGCATGTCTGGTCGATGGGAAAGGAATACGACGGCTCTGGTTTCACGCACTGCGGGTAACTCACCGTACCTCCCTCCCTCGTCTGTATCGCAACTTGAGGACCGAGGCTCCGATAACATCTTCGGTCGTACCCCGGTCGTACTCAATGGCTCCAACGGCACGTATCCCAAATGCAACATGCAAGTTTTTCTGCTTTGAGCGTCCTTTCAAGTGCAGCGTTAGACTCTAGCTGTTTCGGCGACAGGAGCGCGGTTCTCACCGTCGTTCGCGATCAAACCTTATGATCGTTCACAGTAATAACCATCCATGAGAATTTGTTAAATTGTATGCAAATGAGGTGGTATAATAGAGAACGAGCATTACCGACCACCACGACAAATATTCCTATGTCCTTCCTTTCACAAACGATCAGTTCCGGTTTAAAACAGCTTTGCAATACGAGCATGGCAATAGTGGTCTATTTTTACAGCTTTTGCACCGTCTGACAACACCTGATTCTGAGTTAGATCCCGATCAGACGTAGGTAAACCCTCGCTCTTCGCCTTCAGCCGACTCATGATACAAATCGAGGCTTTTCCTATCTTCTTTGTTCTTCGCTTTCTGCGTACCTGGATGTTTTGGACGATGAGGGTTACGCTTGAGGTCCGTGAGAATCAAATTCATACTTAATGATGTCCGCTGGTCGTCTTTCATGCGATCCTGGTGGCCTCGTAAACGGTAGAGATCGCTTCTCTATGCGGTCCATTGTCCAGTTAATGTAGTCGGAACGTGTTCCGGAACGACTCCTCTCACATTCGCCCTTTGTGCCACTAGTTATCAGTTTATTTTCTTCAGCTTTGGTAATGGGGCGAACTTAAGGGCCATAGATCGTGGCAAATAAAAAGATTAAATCGAACAGTTGCTCGATCATCCAACGATGTTTTAATATGGTCAAGTCTGGCCCATACAGCCTTCCTTCTTCTGCTAATTTTCCTGTCTAGCGAGCCTGTGCGATCCAGTTGATGACCGAGGTATGTGGAACTCTTGTGGCAGTATTCGTTTCGCAGCCTTTTCGTCAATTTTCGATCCGATCGTGCGAAAGTCTTTTTGCAACAGGTGGGTCTGCTGTTGGAGTTCCGCCGCGTCTTCAGCGATTATGATGTGATCTTTCACCAGTAGCAAACGCAGAAACTGGTCTCGATCGATCGTGATACCTCCAGTCTAGTTGGTCGATTGAAGAATGATTCTGATGTCGCAAAGAGGAGGTTTTGCGATCGTATTTCCTTTGCCCATTCCTAAATTTATATTGAAACGAGTTGTTCATTTAGTTGCTTGTCCGTTGTAATATTTGTGTTGAGTTCCTCGATCAGGCTTACGTAGTAAAGATGACTTTTGGTAGGATATAAGGTCTTCTTCCGGTATTATCTAAAAACTGTGTGATTCTTTAGATAAATATTTTACTGTGTATTCGTAAAAATGCCTTGACTAACGACAAATGGCGAGATCATCATTCTTTTTCACGATGTAGAGCAGGTATGTATGTGAATCTTTCATTTGGGCTGTTTTTGACATAATTCACCTTTAAGTTAGCCGTGATAATAATATTTCTTCGATTAGAAACCAAACCACGAAAAGCCTTTTCTTGTTTTTCTCTCAAGATAAACACACAGTTACGACACTGAGATAACGTCAGATAAGAGGCTTATTTTCAGTCAGAAGTCTATTATAAAAATGACTTATTCTCATAATGTGTTAGTTAGCAACTGCCCCCCCCC